AAATTTTTTTTAAAATTTGGGGGTATGGTGTTTATAAGATAACCCCCGTGGGCCCCAAAAAGTAAATTTTAATCCCTTTTGAGCCAAAAAAATTTTTAATAGATGTTTTCGCCCACGCCCCCCCCCCCACCCCCAATACCCTGGGTCCGCCCCTCAATGATGCCGTTTACCAATGTTGTTAGAACCGGACCGAACCGGCCCGTTGGACCGGTTCGACTGTGACCCGACGATAATGTGGTCCGGTCTGATATCGAAAACCGGGAAAATTGAAAACCATGGTCGAATGACCAAAAGCCGGTTTGATCGGGTAAAACCCGTGTACCGACGAGTCAGTCAAGGAACCCCCGATTTTCGGCCACAACGTCTCGAAACACTGCCGAGTTGGTTATTTGTGACTAGATTTGAGCGAACCTTCACAAACTTAATAGTGGGTGGCTAGATCTAGTCATGAGTGATCGAAGGATTGTCGGATATGATCATGAGTGATTGAAAAATAAAAAGTTAAAAAATATAGAGTATAGGCAATAAAATATAGTAAAAATTAATTGAATTTTATTTTACTTAAGTCTTTTTTACAAGTGCGATGAAGATTTAATTCATCAATCATCAAAGGTCATGAATTTTGGCTTTCTCGTTCCAAATACAGTAGAACCATGATATTTTAATAACCTCGCTTAAATAATAATTTCTCTAGATCCTAAATCGGTGAGGACGCGCTAGATCATTGATTCGATAATTTAATATTCCACTAAATTAATAGAATTTTCATAGTCTCGACTGCATTAATTTATAATAGACTATATATATTCAAAGTTAGAATCATTTTCTTAATACTTATGAATTCAGCCCAACTCTTAATCCCAGCCTTATAAATCATCACGTACTCTCCGATAGCGTGGGAGTATATCTTGGAGAACTTTACCACTATGATCAAGAAATTAAAAGAATAAAGAAGAAGAGAAAAATCTCCCTACTCCAAAATGTGTATGACATACACTTTTCTATGATTAGGATTATTAGTTTTTGACTCCAACCAAATCTTGTTTATAAAGAACCTAGAAAAAGTTGCAAGGAAAGAACTAGGAAAAATATACTCTCCACCAAGTATAGGGTTAGCCGATTTAACATCGATCTTACATTAATTATCTTCACGCGCATATCAAACTAATGAGAAAAAATGTGCATATCGAATGAAAAGGGCTTTTATTTTTACGATTCATGACCACTTGACAGGAAAAGTCTTAAGAGGCACTGCCTTATGGAGTGAGAGCCCGAACATCTCATTCAAGTCCATTTCCTCAGGTTTTATCCCTGGTTCAAGTTTCCATTCAAAATCATGAATCAAAGATGCCACCATTAGATGCACCATAATGTGCGCCAATGGCATCCCAGGGCATATTCTCCTTCCCGAACCAAAGGGAATGAACTCAAAATCATGGCCCTTGAAGTTGATTTTGCTGTCTAAAAATCGTTCAGGCTCAAAGATATTTGGATTTGACCATATACTTGAGTCTCTTCCCATTGCCCATATATTCACAAGTATTTGAGCATCTTTGGGGATAATATAGTCATTCATTTCTACATTAGCATTTGCCTTGTGAGGGATTAAAAATGGGGCGACCGGATGAAATCTAAAGGTCTCTTTAATCACTGCACGTAAATAAGGGAGTTTAGAGATATCGGATTCTTCCACTTGTTTGTTTTCTCCAATCACAGTCCTTAGCTCATTCTTTGCTTTCGACATTATTTCAGGATTTCTTAACAGTTCTGTCATTGCCCATTCCACGGTATCTGTGCTCGTATCTGCTCCACCAACAATTAAGACCTGAAATAAAATACAATTAATTTATATTTAGTATGAGATGTATTTCCCTTTTATGATGACATAAAATATTATTTGTGTGACTAACACCTATTTTTATATTCTCAAGAAGAAAATACTATTACTATGTTGTCACTATTGGTGTCTCACTAATTCTACATGGTGACACTGAAAACCAATTTAGTGGCAACAACAAGAAACTATACCATAACTCCCAAAAATAATTCAAACATTGCCTATAAATGATAAAATACAAGATGTTGTTAATGTAAGTATTAATGACAATTTCTTATATATATATATATATATTGTAACCATTGGGGTGTCACTATTGGTTTTTTTGTTTCATTGTGTCGCGTAGTTTGTATTAAAATTATATTGTAAATGCATGGGTGAAATAATACTCACCAAAAACAAATGCTTTAACTCGTCGCGGCTCAAGTCAGAATCGCGTTCTTGGTTGAGATCGAGAAGTACTTGAAGTAAATCATTTTTTCTAGGAGAATCAGAAGAGGACATGCCCATTAATCGCAACCTTTCACTAGTTATTTGATCGAATGTCGTTAGCAACTTCCCAGCATAAGCTTCCGATTCGCGCTTAAGGCCTTGTGGATCGATCCGCTTAAGAATCGGGAAGTAATCAGCAAGGTTAGGGGTCCCTAAAATCTTCATCAAGCCCTTGATAGTACCCTTCATTTCTTGAGCAGAATCGGAGCCGAAGCGAGCAAAATCAATAGAAAAGAGAGTTGTTGAAATCAAATTAAGGGAGGTCACAAATGCAACCTCCCCAATATCAACAACTCGTCTATTACTGCAACATTCGTGCAAGTAATCACGCAACTGCTGCAGCTTTTCTTTGCGGAGGCCTTCGCTCGATTGGAGCTTATGTACCGTGAACATGTGCTCTTTGCAAATTTTACGAAATTTACGCCATTTGGTACCCACCGGTAGCCAGGCTAATGAACTCTTATGGTGGTTTGCTGCTTGGGCCGTGTGAGGTACCGTCCGATCGGAGCAAATCTGATCGTGTTTCTGTAGAATTTCTTTTGCCATTTCCGGTGAAGACGCCACAATTGTTTGTATTGTTCCGAGTTTGAGATACATTAAGGGGCCGTAAGTCTTTGATAGCTTCGCAATAGAGCGGTGGGGGTTTTGTCCGATTAGGAGAAGGTTACCTATGATCGGAAGAGGGAAAGGCCCCGGCGGAAGCTTTGTGAGCCGGAATTTTGTTACCGAGACATGAGAAAATGCCCACATGAGTGGGAATAATAGTAGCAAAAGTGTGAGAAAATCCATTGCCTCCTTTTTTTTTTTTTTTTTTTGGTGTGTGTGTTTGTTTTTGAAATTAAGGTACTTCATGTATGGGTAGTGTTTATATAGAGATGCAAAACTGTTATGGTTATGGTCTTGTACAGATGCTTCAATTTTGGTGCAGAAAAATAAAATAAAATAAGATAAATCAGAAATTGAAATCCATGTGGTCGTATTTAATGTGTAGCAAATTCATGAGGGCCCTTTGTGGGCATGATTAGAATCAAAGGAAAAGTTAAATAGAACAGTCCATTTTAGAAGGGCTAGTACACCTGGTTATTTACATTAGGTGAATTTGAACGACATATTTGGTTAGATAATTACACTTGGTTAGATAATTACACATTCATGAATTATAATTAAACATACATACATGAGTGTGTGATTATGTGTAGATTTATGGTTCACATATATTCCGTATAAATAACTAGGTGTAGCAACTTAAATTCCATTTAAGAAGTTAACATAAACCGAATAATTAGGCAAGGTTGCTATAAAAGGAATAGACATAATGCACGAGTATTGCAAGTCGGGGCAAAAATCAAATTAGTTGGCAAATATATGTTTCAAATTTCAATCCTATTTATTAAAAGCCTTGGAATTTTTTTATTTTTTTTAATTTCTTTTTTTGACAAATGGTGGAATTAGAATTTTCCGTTTGGCAAGCCGAAAATCTGTGAGAGCAAATTAAAATTCATCGGATGAAATTAATGATTAAAATCTGTTATAAGTAATGGCTATGAATTTGTTTCAAGTTTTGAAAATTTAAAAGCAATAACATCTTAATTTTTCTTTTAATGTGACGGATGGAAATTAAAGATTAGCCAAACCCAATTAATTAAGACTGGTTTTGGTCTTCAGCAAGTTTGGTATAAGCTAGTGCTTTTAATTAAAAGAAATTAAAATTTATTTTCACATGTGGTGAATGTTTTTAGTTTTACGCAGACGGATTCGAATCGATGAATCGTCTAGTGATACAGGAATCTAATGTGTGATGTGTCGCATATTAAAATTAGGCAGTGTATTGAATAGATCACTGCCATTACCAAATATGGTTAAATCTTTATTTTTAACGTACCATTTGGAGGCTCGTACTGTGGCTTGCATTTGTCTTATAGGGCTCGCATCAATCTCTGGAATTAAATTCGTGGAAGCTCGCTTGATCACCATGGAGGAGTGACGCCAATGCGAGAAGTTCCACAATTGCCCATTCCGTGGTATTTGAGATTGATTCTGCTCCTGCAAGAATCAAGTCCTCGCATATATAAATTAGAATTAGTAGAATCAAGTCTATTTTTCTTGGGGCAATTTTCTAAATACCATTCCAATCTAATTTCCTTTCATATTAGAACACTCATATTTTTCCATTTTGCTTAAATTCATTCGGGCAGCTTAGACGGTGAGCTTATAAGACTAAAAATAGAGAACTTGTACTCGGGACTTAACACTACATGATGTTCATGTATTGTTAACTCCTCATTCTAAGTTTTTGACTAAACTGTCTATTTTCAGTCTAACAAAAACACACTCACCAAAAGAAAGTGCTTTATGTCCTCCAACCTCAAGTCATAATCACTTTCTAGGTTGAGATCGATGATTACTTCAAGTAAATCCTTTTTCTTAGGATAATCAGGAGATGATAACATGCACCTCGATTGCATCCTTTCGCTAATTATTTCATCGAACATCGCTAGCAACATCCCAAAGTAACCCTCTGCCTTGCGCTTAGTGCCTTGTGGATCGATCAACTTAAGAACCGGGAAGTAATCAGCAAGATTAGGGGTGCCTAAAACATTCACCAAGCCCCTAACAGTTCCCTAACGATTGTTTGTATGGTTCCGATTTTGAGGTACATTAAAGGGCCATAAGTCTTGGATAGCTTCGCTAAAGAGCGATGGGCCCCATTTCGCCCGAGGTGAAGAATGTTGCCTATGATAGGAAGAGGAAAGGATACGGTCCCGGTGGAAGCTTTCTGTTCCGAAGTTTTGTTACCAAGACATGAAAAAATGTCAAGGATAAAAAAAGTAGCAAAAGTGTAACAAAATCCATTTCACTTTTTTTTCTTTTTTTCTTTTTTTCTGCAATTGAGGTGTAATAATAAAAAAATGTGGTATGTTTTTATATAGACATGCAAAAACCGACATTAATTTGGTATTCGATAGATGCTTTAGTCTTGGTACGTACAAGGCAAACCAAACAATTTCCAAAATTGAAATTTTTTTGGGTCACTTTATTCTTAGTTTGTTGCTTGTCAATATCATTGAATGTGCAATTATGTGTGTTATTAATACACTTGCATCCCTTTTTATTTTATAGAACAACAATAGGATTTTCAACACGTGTAGCATAGATTTCACCCCATGTCATATGTATGACACGCGAATTACTACATCGTATCATAATTTTTATACCGGAATCTTATTATCAATCTATATTTTATTAGGGATGTTATAAATTGGAAGCAAATAAGAAACGAATCTTTGAAAATTTATATTTGAACCGTACACCTTCAATTCTATCTTACTTTTTTCTTTCTTCCCGGAATGTATTCAACTTATACCATCACTCACATTTGTGTGGTAGGAGATTACGAGTTCGATCTCATCATATGTTGGTGCGTGCATGCATTATAGTAAGATCGTTTACAGAGCCTGTTATATTATTACCAAAACCAATATCTGATTCGAGAGATCACTTGCGTGTATATAGAAATTTGGGTTTGAGTTAATTAGTTCGGTATCTTCGTACAAAATCGGATTAATAGAAATTTGACTGACTAAAATCAAGAAGAATCAATTGTTTGTTAAAAGTCGTTAATTAGGCAAGGCGATTTTGGGACAGATAACGAACTGGTAGGCAAATAAATGTTTGATATTAAGATCTCCCTCCATGTTTTTATTGTTGCAAAAATACCAGAAAAGAATTATGTTCACAATGATGATGTTCATGGATGCAAAATAAAAATCATGATTTTAAATTTCAAAAAAAAATTGGAACGGAAAATAAGTAAACTCATAAAAGGAATAAAAGTAACGGTATGTAAAACAATATAGTGACCCTGAAAATAATTTTAGAGAGAAACTTATATATAAAAGAAATAAACGTTAGGCAACCTAAAAAACTCTAATGGCATATTTGCAAAAATAATTTAGTTTATGCATATATATAATTTTCTTTATCTCATATTTTGCAGCCATTTTTTTTCTTCTAATTATTCTAACACCAAATCTCGCGTACAACAATCGTAATCCATTACATCTATATTTTTTTAATTATTATTGTTATTATTATTATTATTATTATTATTATTATTATTATTATTATTATTATTATTATTATTATTATTGTTATTATTATTATTATTATTATTATTATTATTATTATTATTATTATTATTATTATTATTATTATTATTATTATTATTATTATTATTATTATTATTATTATTATTATATCTCCTATTTTCTCTATAAAAAAAATTCTTCATTTATTTAATGACCAATTTCATATCATAGCAATTAAGTTTTTATAGTTTTTTTTTTTTTTTTTAATGAGTTTGCATTATTAAATTTGTTAAAATTTTGATGTTGTTACCGATATCACTAATAATTTTTTTTATAATTGTTAATATCATGTATTAAACTGATCATCAATTTCATTTAAAATGTTATCTCGTGCATCGCACGGGGAAAAATGCTAGTATATAAAATTGTAGTATTTACCTAACAGTCTAGAATAGCTATTTCCATTACTGTTAGATTTGTGAGAAAATAATGAATACCAAACACTAGTTAGATATTTAAAAAAAATGAATAAATAATTAATGGTTACGAATTTGTTTTCAAATTTTGAAAATTTAAAAGCTATAACATCTTAATTTGTCCTCTAATGTGAGCGATGGAAACTAAAGAGTAGCCAAACCAACACTGGTTTTGAACTTGATGTTAGGGTATAAGCTTATATTCCAATTTTACCAATTTCGAAGGATGTCACATCTAAACTGGTCGGTTAATACTATATTATACCCGCTGAAGGTTATATTGGGTTGATTTTTATAGTTGATATATTCACACCAATATGAGTGTGTGGGGTTAATTTTGACAGACTAATTATTTCATTTCATTGAACATTCCTCAAAAAATACCGATTTAACCCTGAGGACCGGTTCACTTGTAATATATTTTTTTATAGAATACAATATGACAATATTACGGATGTAGTATATAACAACGGATGTAGTATATTTTGTTTTTGGGTAAATTACACCCACACCCCTCAGGTATGCTAAAATAACTTTAAGGTCTCTATGGTATCGGTAAATACAATCACCCCCTTGAAACATAGTTAGAAACTCTAATGGGATAATGCATTGGATACGTTATTCCGATAGAGTTTTAACGGACTATTAGTTTCCGGAAGTGGTGGAGACAACAAAGAGTTATGGGTGATTTAAGAAATGTTGGAGGAGCCATGTCACCTCATAACTCTATGTTGTCTCCACCACTAGCTAAAAGTAATAGTGCGTTAGAACTCGATCAGAATAACGTATCCAATAAATTATCCCATTATAGTTTTCAATTATGTTTCAGGGGGGTAAGTATAATTATCGATATCACAAAAATCTTAAAATTGTTTAAACATAACTCAGGGATGTGGGTGTAATTTATCCTTTGTTTTTATACCATCCCTAGTAGCCCTACTCAAATTAATTAATGGGTTAATATTAAGGGTGGAACTAGAACTTTTGAAAACAATTGTAATGTTTTTTTTAAAGTGAATGAGTCATTCCAATTGCATTGAAAAAAAATATAGAAAAATTTGAGAATCGGATTTTCAAAAGTTAGAGTAAAAAAATTGTTTCGTAATTGGAAATCTTTGGAAGGACATTATTGTAATTATATTTTCTAATTCACCTATTACACAAAATGCATATATGATTATATAGATATTAGTAATGTCATTGAGAAATTGTCGAATATCACTGAGAACTAAGTGATGCCGATAGTGTTGTCGAAAATTGATCGGTTGTTGCCACCGGATCGGGGTATGCAATAGACTAGAATTTTCAAATTTTCAAATCTTCAAAGACGATCATCTAAATGCTTTGGAATGGTTCCCGTGAGGGGATGTTGGACGACAACAAATCTCAAGGGTTAGTAATTATGGATATCTGATTGATTTTTGAATAATTCGACCGCAGATTCTCGTAATTTACAAATTTTTGTTTTACTTAACTTAAAATCTATATATTATAAAACTGGCATAGCATTAGTTAGATGGGATTTTTGATAAATACCAATAGTTGAGGCATTTGTTGTTGTTTTTTTAGTAATGTATCCTTAATTACCAGAGTAAATTTCTCAGCAATATATTATGTATGCTGGTTCAAATTTAGTTCGATGAAAAAAGTACTGATGTGGTAAAAAGTAGATATACACGATCCATGTCAAATCTTCTCCAAGATCGATTATTAAGTCTTTAAATATATGCGTGGATTGTCGCAAATAAGCATTAGAGCATCGGACATGGTCCCGACGTAAGCCTCTATCGCACAAGTCAGTCTCTGAACTCCAAAAATCTACAGAGAATTCTTATGATAGTGTTAGCATGAAAAATAATGATTAGATCTAATTCTTGAGATTACAGGGCCGCGTATTTATATGTACGATTAGGGCTGAAAGTCGGATCGATCAGATCGGAAACACGTCTTTTGGAAAAATTCCATTTTTTCGAAAATCAAATAATATTTTAGAATTTAATTCCAAATTAAAATCGGAAACCAAAATTTTGTTCCAATTCCAAAAATTTCGGAGATTCCGAAAAAATAACAATTTGAAAAAAATTCCATAAATTTAATTGGAATTTTTTAAAATTTTAAAAATAATCACAAACTAAAATTGTGTCTTACTGAATGAGTTAAATAAAAGCCAACCTTGTCACGGTTATTAAAGTATACAATGTGTAATATATTTTTATACATAAACAATTATTGAATAAAACATTTCAGAAAAATCCGGGTTTATCAGAATTATTTTGGGTACTAAAATCGGATCGAAAAGATTGTATATAATTTGAATTCCAACCCAAACAATTTCGAGAAAAAAAAAAATCGGAAATCGAAATATTTGATATCAGAATAAAGATATTTATTCCAAACTCGAAAAATTTCGAATCATCGGAACTTGGACTTTGTGAAGTTGGGATTCCACTTCTTTCTTCATCTTGGGATTAAGCTTGGCCCAAAAATTAAGTATAATAATTAGATATTGCGGTAGCGGCTTTAGGCAATTGAAGGTTCAATATAGGTACATTTTCAAGATTCAAGACTTGATAGGAAAAGCCTCAAGGGGCACAGCCTTCTGAAGAGAAAGCCCCAACACATCATTCATGTCGATTTCCTCGGGTTTCATCCCCGGCTCGAGTTTCCACTCAAAGTTATGAATCAAAGACGCCACCATGAGATGCACCATAATCAGGGGCGAGTCCACCCAAGGGCTAGGGTGGACTCAAGCCCCCCCTCACTTCCAAAATTTTTCCCATTATATATATATATATATATATATATATATATATATATATATATATATATATATATATATATATATATATATATATATATATATATATATATATATATATATATATATATATATTTTGATATATATTCTATTTAAGTTTTTAGTCTATTCAAGTATATTATTTAAGCCCATTTACTTTTAGTCTATTTACTCAAAGCCCCCCATGTATATTTTATTTATATTTTGAGCCTATTCAATTATATTTTCTTTTTTTTAATCTATTCAATTATATTATTTAAGCCCATATATTTCTAGTCCACTTACTTAAAGCCCCCCATGTCTGACTTGCTCTCATCTTCTATTTTTCAACTTCGTTACGTTTCTTGAAAAAGAAAAAAAAAAACTTTGTTCTCTCCCACAGTCTCACTAATAGCAGTTAAATTGCCACCCACCGACAATCGTTTAGCATTTGACAACTTCTCTCTCATCTTAATTTTCAGATTGGGTATCAATTAGAAGTCGATTGTGTCAATTTGATAATCGACTTGATATTCATGTTTCTTAAATTTTTATAGCAATTTAGCTTTCACGATTCGTTTTGGATTATCATCTGAAAGTGAAGGGAAAAAAATTCGTATCAAATTTTCATCTCAAATTTCTTTTATAGCAAATTTTTTTTCGGGGCCGCTGCCCCCGAACCCCCTGTGTGTTTAAGCCCCCCCTCACCAAACTTTCTGGCCTCGCCACTGACCATAATACGAGCCAATGGCATCCCGGGGCATATTCTCCTTCCCGAACCGAAGGGAATGAACTCAAAATCATGGCCTCTATATTCGATTTCGTTGTCTAAAAATCTTTCAGGCTCAAACATATCTGCATTTGACCATATACTCGAGTCTCTTCCCATTGCCCATACGTTAACAAGTATCTGTGAATCTTTGGGGACCATATAGCCGTTGATTTCCACATTTGTATCGGCCTTGTGAGGGATTAAAACCGGGCCCCCAGGGTAACATCGAAAGGCCTCTTTAATCATCGCACATAAGTACGGGAGTTTTGAGATATCGGATTCTCCAACTTGTTTATTCTCTCCGATAACGGTCTTCAGCTCATCTTTAGCCTTCGACATTATTTTAGGGTTGCGTAGTAGTTCCGCCATTGCCCATTCCGTGGTATTTGAGCTCGATTCCTGCAAGAATCAAGTCCTGGCATATATAAACTAGAATTAGTAGAATCAAGTCCATTTTTGGTCTAAACTGTCTATTTTCAGCCTAAGATGTATATTTTAAACAAATTCAAAGTATCTTTTCTATTTAGTATTTATTTATTTAAGGTACATCATAAATCCATGGAGAAAACGAAAACACACTCACCAAAAGAAAGTGCTTTATGTCCTCCAAGCTCAAGTCATAATCACTTTCTAGGTTGAGATCGATGATTACTTCAAGTAAATCGTTTTTCTTAGGATAATCGAGGGAGGATGGCATGCACCTCGATTGCATCCTTTCACTAATTATTTCATCGAACATCGCCAGCAACTTCCCAAAGTAACCCTCTGCCTTGCGCTTAATGCCTTGTGGATCTATCAACTTAAGAACCGGGAAGTAATCAGCAAGATTAGGGGTGCCTAAGACATTCATGAGGCCCCTAATAGTTCCTTTCATTTCTTGAACAGAATCGAAACCAAAGTGAGAAAAATCAGGAGAAAAGAGAGTTGTTGAAATTAGATTAAGGGAGGTCACAAATGCAACCTCCCCGATATCGACAATCCGTCCGCTACCGCAGCATTCGTGCAAGTAGTCACGCAACTGCTGCAGCTTTTCTTGACGAAGGGCTTCACTCGATTGGAGCTTATGCGCCGTAAAAAGATGCTCTTTGCATATCTGACGAAATATACGCCACTTGCTTCCAGCTGGCAGGTAGGCTATGGATCCGTTGTGGTGGTTCGTTGCTTGGGCCGCAAGAGATACCGTCCGGTTGGAACAGACTTGATCGTGCTTCTGTAAAATTTCTCTTGCCATTTCGGGCGAAGATGCCACGATTGTTTGTATGGTTCCGAGTTTGAGGTACATTAAAGGGCCATAAGTCTTGGATAGCTTCGCTAAAGAGCGGTGGGCCCTGTTTCGCCCGAGGTGAAGAGTGTTGCCTATGATAGGAAGAGGAAAGGGTCCCGGTGGAAGCTTTGTGTTCCGAAGTTTTGTTACCAAGACATGAGAAAATGCCAACGATAAAAAAAGTAGCAAAAGTGTAACAAAATCCATTTGATAACTTTTTTTTTCCTGCAATTGAATAAAAAAAAATGTGGTATGTGTTTATATAGACATGCAAAAACCGACATTAATTTGGTATTCGACAGATGCTTTAGTCTTGGTATGTACCAAACAATTTCCAAATTAGAAATTTTTTGGGTCACTTTATTCTTAGTTTGTTGCTTGTGAATATCATTGAATTAATGTGGTATTTTAGAAATTTGAGAGGTAATTATGTGTGTTATGCATCTGTTTTTTTATAGAACGACAATAGGATTTTCACCATGTGTAGCATAGATTTGACACTGAAATTACTACATCGTAGTATAATTTCTATACCGGAATCTTATTATCAATCTATACTTTATGTTATGATTTGGAAGCAAATAAGAAACGAAAAAAATTTGCGTGAATTTTTGGAAAATTATATTTGAACCGTACACTTTCAATTCTATCTTATTTTTTTCTTTCTTTCCAAAATGTGTTCAACTTATACCACCACGCACATTTGTGTGGTAGGAGATTACGAGTTCGATCTCATCATATGTTCTTGCGCGCATGCATTATAGTAATATCGTTTACAGAGCCTGTTATATTATTACCAAAAACAATATCTGATTCAAGAGATCACTTGCGTGTATATAGAAATTTGGGTTTGAGTTAATTAGTTCGGTATCTTCGTACAAAATCGGATTAATAGAAATTTGACTAACTAAAATCAGGAAGAATCAATTGTCTGTTAAAAGTCGTTAATTAGGCAAGGCGATTTTGGGACAGAAAACGATCTGATAGGCAAATAAATGTTTAAAATTAAGATCTCCCTCCATGTTTTTATTGTTGCAAAAATACCATAAAAGAATTATGTTCACAATGATGATGTTCAGGGATGAAAAATTAAAATCATGATTTTAAATTTCAAAAAAAAAAAATTGGAACGGAAAATAAGTAAACTCATAAAAGAAATAAAAGTAACGTTATGTAAAACAATATAGTGACCTTGAAAATAATTGTAGAGAGAATCTTATATATAAAAGAAATAAACGTTAGGGTAACCTAAAAAACTCTAATGGCATATTTGTAAAAATAATTTAATTTATGTGTATATATAATTTTCTTATTTTGCAGCCATTTTTTTTCTAATTACTTTACCACCAAATCTCGGCTAAAACAATCATAATCCATTACATCTATATTTAATAATTATTATTATTATTATTATTATTATTATTATTATTATTATTATTATTATTATTATTATTATTATCTAATATATAAAAGGAAGAAATGTTGGGCAACCCTAAAAAACCGTAATGGTATTTCTGTAATTATTTATTTTTAATATCTAACTATAATTTTTAACATTTATCAAAATCAAAACTAACCCGTGAAGAATCCTATCTTATTGGTACTTAATGTAATTATTTATTTTTAATACTTTTTTTCTACCAATTTTTTAATTATAATTTTCAACAATTATTAATCTCCTATTTTTCATCAATATATCTCAAATCTTAAGAGATAAAGCTAGAAATTCAATTTGTTAAAAGTCTATTTATTTGGATTATAAATCTTAATATGTAAGATTTAAAAAATCTAATGTTATATAAAATATGAATAATACTATATTATTAAATTTTACTATATTAGTGTACTATATTTTCTTATTATGTATTAAATTGATTATTTTTTTCACTATTGAAATAATACCCCGTGCATCGCACGGGGGAAAAATGCTAGTTATTATTACATCTAGTATTTTCTCTGTAAAAAATTACTTTATTTATTTAATGATCAATATCATATTATGGCAATTAATAGGGGTGTGCACGAGTCGGTTCGGTTCGGTTTTAGCCAAAAACCGAACCGAACCGAATATATCGGTTTTTGTAAAATTAAAAACCGTGTATGTCGGTTTTTTATCGGTTCGGTTGCTTTCGGTTTCGGTTCGGTTTCGGTTTTTTTCGGTTCGGTTTCGGTTTTTTTCGGTTCAAGCGCAACTATATATTCAAGTTGTACAAACAAAAGAATACAATTACAATTACTTTCACAACTTACTAATGCAATGAAAATATAAAATCTTTAATTTCATAGGACTTGACGTAATTTATAGATGATGTATTATGCTTCATTTTTTTTCCTACTTTCATCTACCACATTATTAAAACCATGAACTCAAGTAAATTTTTAATTACTAAATAAATAAAATACAATGTCTCAATTTATGAACAAATGCTTAGAATGAGACAAATAATTGAAAGATAGAAAATAAATATTAGGGTAAAATAATACATATATTATATAAAATGAAGTCATTTTATAGTTTCGGTTCGGTTCGGTTTTTCGGTTCGGTTATTTACCTTTCCACCATACCGAACCGAATAATTCGGTATTTCAAAAATAAAAAACCGTACATGCGGTTTGCTATTCGGTACGGTTTAAAACGGCTCGGTTTTTCGGTTTTTCGGTTCGGTTTTTCGGTTTTTCGGTTTTTTTGCTCACCCCTAGCAATTAAGTTTTTATATTTTTTTTTTGTTTTTGTTTTTTTTTTTTGAATGTGCTTGTATTATTAAATTTATATAAATGTTGATGTTGTTACTGATATCACTAATAACTTTTTTCTTATAATTTTTAATATCATGTAATAAACTAATTATCAATTTCATTTAAAATGTTATCCCGTGCATCGCACGGGGAAAAATGCTAGTATATATAATTGTAGTATTTACCTAACAGTCTAGAATAGCTATTTACATTACTGTTACATTTGTGAGAAAATAATGAATACCAAACATTAGTTTGATATTTTAAAAGACTAATAAATAAGTAATGGTTACGAATTTGCTTTCAAATTTTGAAAATTTAAAAGCTATAGCATCTAATTTGTCCTTAATGTGAGCGATGGAAATTAAAGAGTAGCCAAACCAAGACTGGTTTTGGACTTGATGTTAGGATATAAGCTTATATTCCAATTTTACCAATTTTAAAGGATGTCACATCTAAACTGGTCGGTTAATACTATGTTATACCCGCTGAAGGTTATATTGGGTCGATTTTTATAGTTGATATATTCACACCAATATGGGTGTGTGGGGTTAATTTTGACAGACTAATTATTTCATTTCATTGAATATTCCTAAAAAAATACCGATTTAAACCTGAGGACCGGGTCAGTTATAATATTTTTTTTTATAGAATACAATATGACAGTATTACGGATGTAGTATATTTTGTTTTTCTTCTGCTTAACTTACACGCGTTATAGACTCTATATATTGAAAAACTGGCGGAGCATTAGTTAGATAGGATTTTTGATAAATACGAATAGTTGAGGCATTTGTTGATTTTTTAGTAATGTATCCTTACCAGAGTAAATTTGTTAGCAATATATGTATGTTGGTTCAAATTTAGTTCGATGAAAAACGTATTTATGTGGTAAAAAATAGATATACATGATCCATGTCAAATCTTCTCCAAAAACGATTACTAAGGTCCTTAAATATATGCGTGGATTATCACAAATAAGCATTACAGCATCGGACATTGTCCCAACGTAAACCTCTATCGCACAAGTCGGTCTCTGAACTCCAAAAAAGCTACAGGGAATTCTTATGATAGTGTTAGCATGAAAAATAATGATTAGATATAATTCTTGAGATTAAAGGGACCCGTATTTATATGTACGATTAGGGCTGAAAGTCCAATCGATCAGATCGGAAACAAACGTTTTGGAAAAATTCCATTTTCTCGGAAATCAAATAACATTTTCGAGTCCAATTCCAAAAAAATCGGTAACCAAAATTTTGTTCCAATTCCAAAAATTTCGGGGATTCCTGAAATTCCAAAAAAATAACAATTTGAACACTTTTTCTCGTAAATTTAATAGGATTTTTTAGAGTTTTCAAAGTAACCACAAACTAAATTGTGTATTTGTTTAATGATTTAACTAAAAGACAACCTTGTCACACTTATTAAAGTATACAATATGTAATATATTTGTATATATATAATACAAAATAATTATTTAATAAAACATTTCAGAAAAATCCGAATTTATCTTAATTATTTTTGGATAATAAAATTTTATGAAAATTGGAACTTTCCAAAAGATTGTATACAATTCGAATTCGAACCCGAACAGTTTCGAAAAAATCGGAAATCGAAATATCTGATATCATAATAAAGATATTTATTCCAAACTCGAAAAAAATTCGAATCACCGGAACTTGGACTTTGTGAAGTTGGGCTTCCACTTATTTCTTCATCTTGGGATTAAGCTTGGCCCAAAAATTAGGTAGAATAATTGAAGCTTCAATATAGGTACTTTATAATAAACAGTTGATTTGGTGTTGAAGCATCTCCTTCACGTTAGCTGGAAAAAGCTGAATAGGTGGAGGAAAAGTATATATCATCAACAACGCTATAATTAATGGAGTAGCTATAAAGCACTGCAAATCCTAGCAATTTTTTTTTTTTAATGACTTTTTCTTTCTTTTTTTCTTGGCATCTCATTTATGGGTAACTAAAACTTGTACTCTTCATCTTTCTCTTGCTTGAGTTTAAAGTTTGAAAAATAAGAAAATAATTAAAAAAAAAAAAATCAAGTTTAGGGATTTTGGCATTCAAGAGGGACGGAACTAGAAATTTTACGAACACCGGGTTTTACGAACTAGAAAAACCCAATGTTCACCCTTATATTTTGCGTCTGCAAAATATTAATATGAGACATGAAAAATGGAAACATATAAATTTATTTATCAAAAGGAAATTGATTAAAATCTATAAAATCCGCCGATTCTTCTCCCATAATTTGATTCAAGTGTTTAGAAGCTTGTTTTTAATCGGATATAATGATTTACTCCAAAATTTTGTGGAAGAGATCACGGACACTTTGAATTCAAATATGTTATGGCTTGTTTTTTAATCGCATATAATGATTTACTCCAAAATTTTGTGGAAGAGATCACGGACACTTTGAATTCAAATATGTTATGAATTTGCGGTGAAGACTTGAGATTGGATTTACGTATGTATATGTCTGACTTTTGCATGTATAGTGGAAGCCTTCTTTTATTAGTACAAGCTAGGATTTCTTGGCTTGTAGCATGAGCCAAATATTTATAAAGCCCAAATATGTTATAATCTAGAATTGAGACCCAAATTAATAACCAATTATTTAAATTATTAATTGGTGATTTATCTCAAATTTTCCAAGTCAACACCCTATCTAGTCGGATCGATTTATGAAGAATGGCTACCTATCGTTGATCCTAGTGAACCATTATGACAGATGAGTGAACATGAAAATTCGATGATGAATGAAGAAGCGCAATCATAATGGGAATATTAATATTAAATGATACAT